CCTTTTTGTTAGACTCTGGAATCTAGAAATACTGTTTCTTTCTATAGTTTGTGACTTATGATATTCCGGGTTTTGGGAGAGTTTATGTACATTTCGAGAGTGATTACTGTAGATGCCGAGCGGCATCTTAATTTCTTATTAAAATTTACCTGTTAGTTAATAGCTTTTATATTTTCGTTTCATTTTCCGCAAATGTTAGGCTTACCTAGTCGTAGAGACTAGGTGCCGTCACGACGGTTCACGGAGGGAGAACTTGGATCGTGACATTAATAATGAGTTAGAATTCTTTTAAGGAAGAATATATACAATTTGTAAAGAAGAAAAAGGTCAATATTAATATCAAAGCTTAGTTATTTTGAGTAAAAAAGTTTAGTATTTAGAATGACTATGAACAGATCCCTTTATGATAATGTTGTCATCTATGTCAGTGACAAGCCTAACTAGCTTATTGGGCTTTTTTTTTCCCCATTGATTGAGTGCTATTGTAAGATATGTCCAATCGTTAGTAGTAGGAATCCATAGTTTATAGATCACGCAAACAAGTCTTGCTTATTTGATGCAAGATGGAATATCACACCCTTACCTCGTTTATTCTAGGGGTTTTGACACAGTTGCCCACAAAAACAAAACTATTTATCCTTGTCTGTCCATTTATTTTTCTACCCATAAACTAATTATATTTCCTACCCATAGTAGGTTTTGTGGAGAATTTTCTCTTTATTCTCCAATTCTTTTTTATTTCTATGCTTCTTTTCTTTTCTTTTTTCTTTTTTCTTTTCTTTTTCTTTTCTCCTTTTCTTTTTTCTCGTTTTCTTCTTATTTTTTTCTTTTTTCCTATTCTAATTTCATTTACTTCTTTTTTTTTCTTTTTCTCTTCATAATCTAATTTCATTTCCTATTTTCATTATTTTTTATTATTCTTTTTTTTTTATATTATTACTAAAGAAAAATCAAATTGTGTACCAATTAAATGTAGCTAATACAACCAAAAAAATATTAACTAACATTTGATACTAGTATAGTATATAGTTATACCAACAGGATATACAATTGTACGCGAAGAGTTAAAAAAAGTTTAATTCAATTATTAAACTGAAATAGTAGTTGTCAATAAAAATTTCAAAAAATTCTAAAAGGATCTAATTGTAAGAGTATACCGTTACATTATATAACATACTATAATATTTTTTTTTTTTTTTGCATTTTCTATTTGTCTCTCACGCTGGGTAAAAGCTTAAAGCAAATTAAAGGGGAAAAGACAAGTGAATTTACGGGTAATAAGTATACTATTATAGTATATTGTATGCTATTACAACATATTGTTACAGTATATTGCATATTATTACAGTATACTATAACAATATATTATATACTATAATAGTATAATGTTGCAGTATAGCTATATACTCCTACATCATATTGTATACTGTAGTGGTGTACTGTAGCTGTGTTCTTCTTCGATTTTCAACTGAAAATTTCGATCTCAATCACCTCAAATCAGCTCCAAATGCTNNAAGGGAGAGCTTGGAAAAATCAGTACTATCAGAGATTGGATCTGCTCGGAAAGAAAAAACTTTGGACTTGCAGAATCACAACCGGAGATAGACGAAGCTTATGAAGAAATGATAGCGGAACTTGCGGAGGATGCTGCTTCGCCCGGAAACGGTGATGAACAAGCTTCTTTTCCGCCACCACCAACGGAACCTCCTCCGAAGCTTCTTATATACTAGCATACTAGTATACTAGTATACTATACTAGTATGCTATACTAGTATACTATATATATTATATTTACATGAAGAAGTAGTACTATATATACTACAAAACAAGATTTTTCAAAATGAGGGCCCCACCCCCAATGACCACCAACGGTCATATTAATTGCACAAATAGCCGTTTTTTTTTCAATTTACAAAACTAACCTTCTCTAACACTATAAGTACCCCCCTCCCTCTTCTTCATTTCAATACTCAATACTCATTTCTCAATCTAAATTTCTCTCAATCTCTCAATCTCCAATTTTCAAGACTTCAAGTCTCAATCTCAATTTTCAAGTTAAATCATGCCTCGTTCGGAAAGAGTGCGCTTATTTGTTTCGCAATACTATGAAGTGCTTGAAGAAAATGAAGAAGGCCAAATATTAAAGTGCAAGAACTGTGGAAGAGTCTTAAATTTTCGTTCAGGGTGCACCACAGGCATTTTAAGGAGGAATATAAAGTATTGTGTTGAGGGTATTTATCCGCAAATTCGTCTTTAAGATTTTTCAACAATTTGTGTTATTTTAAAATTATTAGACGTATTTATGCTTCATGTTGTACTTTGTTATTAATTTATTATGCATGCCAATTTAGTTTTACTATTGATTTGTTATTTTACATTTTCGTCAAACACTTTAATAATTAGATTTCTATATTATATATACTACATATATTTATATAGCCATGCATAAGAGCAATTTATATATATACATACACATATGGTTTACAAGAAATTGCCTTAAATAAAAAAAAAATTTAAAAAAAAAGCCCGGAAATAAAAAAAAGCCCGTTAGACCCACTAAGCCCACGAGCCCGGCCCATTTAGCCCAGGACCATATGGGCTTAGGCCCGTCACGGGCTGGTCCACCCGTTGAGCCCACGAAGCCCCGGGACCGCGAAGCCCGGGACCGCCAGAGCCCGGGACCGCTAAGCCCAGGCCCGTTTAGCCCGGCCCGTTTAGCCCATTTAGGCCCGGGCCCGGCCCACCATACAGCCTTAGCAATATTTAATAGCACCCACTTTGAATCAAACAAAAAATCTTCAAAAATAAAATTGAGCTTCAAGCCTAACAATGGTGGATATTAAAGGTGATGGCCAGATGAAAGTCTTTATATAGGAAAAAATACGATGTTTACCTTCCAAACGTTATACAAGGATCTGGTGAAGCCCAACAATCTTCAAGACTTGCATCTGGTGATGGCCTTACAAGGATTATTTTTTATATAGGAAGGAAAAAGTTTGGAAGGAAAAAGTTTGCACCTGGGTTTCACCAGATCCTTGTATAAAGTTTGGAAGGAAAAAATACGATGGGTATAAAGTGAGGAAGGTAAAATGAGGAGGAAGAAGAAGAAATGCGGGTAAATAGTTTGGGGAGCATGGGTAGCAGTAGTAAATAGTTTGGGTCTGGGCATTAAAGGGTAAATAGTTTGGAATTAATGGGTATAAAGGTGGAATTATATGGGCTGCAGCCTGCTGGTGGCACGAAGAATTTGTACAAATTAGGCCGGTTGACCCGTTTCTATACTGCCTGTTAATGTTTAGCCATAATTTAAAATGTAATAGAGAAATAACCATAACCACTTTTTAAAATAAAAATAATATTTAAACAAAAATACTCTTAATTAAAATACAAAACAACTCCAGCATTATTGCTGGAATTCGAAGTTTTGACAAATAAAACTCTATCACATTGTGCTAAAGTTTTTGAGCCGTGGTAGCTGAAAAGCCAACATATGTTCCTAGAGTTCGCATTGATATAAAGGTTCAAACTCTAAGAATTTTTCGTGGAGTTTGAAATAGGTATCATGAGTGAAATAGTGTTAAAAAATTATTTCAACTCATGATACCTCGTGATAAAATGATAAAATAGATATGAGTGAAACAAGTACGTTAAATAACGTGAAATGAATGATTTCGCTCATGGTACCTCGTTGAAACTCAAGAATATTGAGTTTCAACTTTTACAAATTGAACTTTTATGAGTGCGTCTTGGAGTTAAAACAAGCCTTGCTATAAACAAATATAGGCATTGTTATTTTTTGAATGTTTGAATTTCATGTATTGAGCCTTGCTACAAACAAATATAGGCATTGTTATTTTTTGAATGTTTGAACTTCATGTATCGGTCATGGGTTTAAAAATAATAAAAAGTTGTAAATCCATAAATTATTTGTGGGGTTCGAACTGCACATTTCTTGCGCATTTCTAGCTTGAGGAATAACTTATGGAGTTTGAACTAATAAATATTCAAATTTCAGTAATTGCCTGAATTTTTTTTGTGTGTTTTATTTGGTAAATTTTTTCAACTATTTTTTTATGTCAAAAAGAATATCTAACGGTTCGACATAACTTTTAAAATGGTGACTAATATTTGATTACTGATGTTAAAAATAACTATTTTCCAAAAAAATTCCAGAATTTTTACCAAGTTCTTGCACAAATGCGTAAGGTCATGCTCTTTCCACGCGAATATGTTCAAACAAACATAGAATTTTTGTAACACAGTCCTTTAGTGCTGAATTTTTGAGCTTTTTCCTTTTGTGAATGTCTCAAGATCAAATTTTCTTTGCCCATATACCTAATTAATATGAAAAGAATGATTTGATGTAGAGACAAATATGGAGTTTTTTTTATCAATAAATAGAAAGCACAAGCATAAATCAAGACAAAAAAATGCAATGCCTAAATCTTGAAAAAAGGTGGAGATAAAAATGCATTTTGGCTGGCCAAAGAGGAAAAGATAAAACTGAAAACTAAGCTAGCGTTTGGCCATAGATCCCAAATTTATTTTGAAAAATCTAATTTGGGTGAAGTTTGGTTTGAAGATGAAAATGTGTTTGGACATACGTTTTCAAAACATATTTTCCAACTTTATTTTGGAAAAACATATATATAAAGTTTTGGGATTTTGGCCCAAAATCAGCTCAATAGCTGATTTTGGGATTTGAGATTTGAGATTTTGGATTTGGCCAAAATATGAGCAAAATTTATGGCCAAACATGAGTTTTGAAAATAAATCCCAAATTTATTTTTGCAAAACTCATGCCCAAACAGGGCCTCAAGATAGGCCAATATAAAGCTCTAAATCACGAAGTCACGAACTGCGCCAGCTAAAATGACAATGATACCCCTATGGCTCATCTACGAATTGACCAAATCAATACGGGCAGCGGGCAGAGCGTACCAATTACCCGAGTTAGGGCCAAATTCCGAACTGAAATCGCAGGCAGTATAAAATAGCTGAAAAGAGTAGTAGTGTATTTCTCACTTCCAGATTAGCTTCTTCGCCTTCAATCAAACTCCTAAAGAGCAGAAAACAGATAAGCAGAAAATTTTCTCCGATTTCTCTCTTTAATTTTTGGGTAATGAAAACCCCCAATACTCATATATTCTACTACTACTATATGTCTTCTTCTCACATAATACTACTACTCTATTTCTTCTGCTCTTTATCTTCATTTCCGCCCATTCTCATAAACAAGGTTTCGTCTTTTGCCCCTTTTTTTATCAATTTTTAGCATGTATGTCATTTTGTTTATATTTTTTCAGCATCAGAAATCTTGAATTTACATACCGAAATTTGTTAGATGTGTACGGACTTACCTATTTTTCTGTTAGGGTTTTGTTGATTTTTGTTATTTTCAGCTCTAGGTTTTCGAGTTTGTCCTTTGAAGATGGTTTTTTTTTGTGTGTGGATGCTTTATATACATTGATTTTAGCTCCTCGGGTAGCTGAATTGTTATATGTGTTCATAGTTATATGTTGGTACTAAAATTGGTTGAGTTTTTTGATAGAGGAAAAATTGGTTGAGGTCATTTACTTTGTTCAATTACCCATCGTTTTTTTTGGTTGAGTTCAGTAAATAGTCTTCCTCTTTCTATAGGCATAATGTCATATTAAACATTTAACTTATTGGAAATCGTGCCCCATTGCTTTGATTCAACGGCGCGATGTGTGGTAGTATGTCCCGAATTTGAAACAGGCTGTTGCACTAGTTAGTCTAGGACTTAAAGTAGAGAAGAGTAGAGGGTCATGCACATCATTAACCGAGTTCCCAAGCTGAAACATCCGATATATCCATCATGAAAAAGGGAATTTTTGCTAAGCATATTAATGTTGTCTTAAGTTCATGTATTTTTGAGTTACCTGTACGTGTGGAGGTAGTAGGTATCCGGTTGAATAGCCGAGGTGCGTGCGAGCAGGGCCGGGCACCTTCATTATAAAAGGAAGTTCCTATCTTTTTGAGAATGTAGAGATATTTTCTTGAGATTATGGCGAAAAGTTTACCCTGTCGTAACACTGTTCTGTATGGTAGTGAAGTCATAGGTGGCGGTTGCTTCAAAAATTGTAAGAAGAGTTAGTTTTTCGGTTTCTGCAAAAAAGTGATTCTTTTTCTTTCTTTCTTGGTGTTTGGTTGAAAACAATCTTTGCAAAACATTTTTTTTTCCTAAAACAAGTATTTCAAAGCTAACTCCACCTTAGTAAGGCCAACCTTTTCTCTTTATTTAATTGATTAAATTCCCATCATGTTAAAATTTACCCTCCTAAATGACCCAAATGTGGTGAAAAAATCTCAATTGAGAAAGTGTCCTTGCTCTTATGTGTATGTGCTTATCTTTGTGTCTATTGATAATAGTGCATTTTCTTTCCTCCAGAGAAGTTTCATATCCCATCGTGTGCTATTGTATCTTATGTTTATGCCACCATGGGCTAATGAAAAGCTCGAAGTAGTGCTGGGCTTCAAACGATGGAAAGAAAGAAAGATATCATTTGTAAAATTGTGATAAGTTGGAAATTTGGTTGCACATTAGTATATTTTGTTTTCTCATCTCCTGAATATAATGAAAAATTACCTATACTACACGTCTTTCCGTGTTGGTGCAGGACAGTTGAAAGTACTGAACTTCCTTCATTGCATGCATGGTCATAGTGCGTACTTGCCTTTTTTTTAAAAAAAAAAAATTATTTTCCCAGCCTTTTCATATCTTCCATATAGCTGACCCCAAGTTATTTGGGTTGAAATGTAGTTAACGATTGATGTCATATCCGTCAACAAGCAAAAGAGCTAACATATATATCGGTCTGCAGGCATTATTGGTGACCTTCTATTTATTTGTTGGATGAGAAGATCTAGGTCACAATAAAATCATGACAGAGAATACTGAAATTGATGACCGCGTGGATCTTGATGACGAAAATTACTCTGAGGAAGATGAAGATCCAGAACTGATAGAAGATGATGGAGCTGGAGAAGTCGGTGATGAAAATGGTGAAGAGCAATCATATGATTCCGGAGGTGGGGATAGTGGGACAGCAGAGTCTCCAGAAGCAGATATGGGTGACGTTCCGGAGCCTGCTACAGATGAAGAAAAGCCTAGTGCTTCTCTTACTGAAGAAGACAAAAAAGAGCATGCTGAACTTCTTGCTCTCCCTCCGCATGGGTCTGAGGTTTTCATTGGTGGGATTCCTCGAGATGTTTCTGATGAAGACTTGAGGGATCTCTGCGAACCATTCGGCGAAATACATGAGGTCAGTTCTGATTGATAGAGCTGGAAGTAATCTGAAAGCTACGCCAAACAGGCATATGTTTTTGACAGACTTAAATGTGTTTGCTTTTCCCTAAATTGTGTAATCGTGTCCTATCTTTGCAGGTCAGGATCATGAGAAATAAGGATACCGGTGAAAGCAAGGGCTTTGCCTTTGTAGCCTTCACAACAAAAGATGAGGCACAAAAGGCTATTGAAGAATTACATAGCAAAGAATTCAAGGTGATTTCTGCATTTGCGCACTTGGCTTCATTCATTTCAGATTTTTCATTAACTGTATCGTCTCTTTTAGTGAGTGCATGATTTGGTAGTTTCTTTGTTTGTTATGTGTTTATTATCAACCCAGGGAAAAACCATAAGGTGTTCACTGTCAGAAACTAAATACAGATTGTTCATTGGTAATGTACCAAAGAGCTGGTCTGATGATGACTTCAGAAAGGTCATTGAAGAGACTGGCCCTGGTGCAGAAACAATAGAACTCATAAAGGTGTGTTTTTATGTCCCAAACACTTCTATAAATTGTTCTGACTCTGTCATTGGCAACTTATGGACAATTTGTAAACTTCTAATATTTGACTGAAGGATCCTCAAAACCCAGCACGTAATAGGGGTTTTGCTTTCGTTGAATATTACAATAATGCCTGTGCGGATTACTCGCGGAAAAAAATGGCAAGTGCAAACTTTAAGCTGGAGGGAAATTCTCCAACTGTCACATGGGCTGATCCAAAGATTACACATGATCATTCTGCTGCCGCTGCTCAGGTATCAAACCTTATATCTCACCGATATTTGAGTATGAGCTTCTAAGAGATCTTAAGCGAGTTCTATTTGATATGTTTTGTGATCTTTGGTTGTTTCTCTTAGATTCTAATGTCACCTGCTTGATCTTTAATTGTTACTTTGCAGTTTGCACCTTTACCAAATGATCTCCCTTATGCTTTTCCCTTTTGTGGGTCTATGAGTTTTTCTCTCCAATTGTTATCATGTTGGCTTGAATACAGTACGTTACGGGTTCTGATCCACCCCCTATTCCAGATTAAACTTGTTTTCTTCTTTCTTTGTTTACTTCTTGTAGGTCTGTCTAGGTGTGCGAAGGGGGATTGGATGGTTTTTGTAATGTATCTATAAAACTTCTCAATTTGATATAATCATTTATTGGGGCTGCTTTTGAGTAAAGAGCCAGCAACTGTGCTGATACCTTAAACTTTTTAGTTCTCTAGGCGTATTGTTACCATGAGGTGGGGCAGAGTTGTGGTGGATAGTTTCACTGCTGAGATTATACTGACTGTAATTCTGTTGGGACCAACTAAGGCTCGTAAACCTAGTGGCCCTGCTGAAGGTACTCTGAGATGATTCTGGAATAGTCGTGGTAGTTCGTGCAAGATTGCATGTACACTACCATTATCACCCAAAAAGAAGAAAACGGATTAGTGATAGCAAACTAAGTCACTTATCAATATGATGTTAAATTTTGTGATGTATTGTCCAATCCATGGTATCAATGGACTGATTGGAGATTCACCTGTGTGAAACAGTGAAACCTTTTCCCTTAACATCCTTCTGCTAGTTTGAACATTGATTATGTATTTTATGTCGTCTTTTCCAGGTTAAAGCACTTTATGTGAAAAGCATTCCAGAAAACACATCTACTGAACAGTTGAAGGAACTTTTCCAACGCCATGGTGATGTCACCAAAGTTGTTATGCCGCCGGCCAAAAGTGGTGGCAAACGAGACTTCGGATTTGTCCATTATGCAGAAAGGTCAAGCGCACTGAAGGCTGTTAAAGATGGTGAAACATATGAAGTTAATGGTAATGCTTCTGGACTTATGAATACAAGTGGAACACATACATTGCATAAAGGGAACTCTCAGGATCTACATCTGAGTGTTCCGTCGGCCCCTCCTGCAAATCACTTCCCCCTCACTGGAAAAAGAAATAAAGGAAAATCAGGAGAATAGAGGTAGGAAGTGTGAGGGGGTGGGTTTTGGGGGGAGGGGAGAGATCCTTAAATTTAGTAATTCTGGTTTTAAAAATCTCTGGAACTGTCAGCGGGTCCATATCTAATTCTTTTTATTCTTGCAGCTAGGGTAAAAAGTCATAATTATGCCTTTGAAGGGGTTATCTGGAACCCATAGAGAGCCCCCCCCCCCCCCCCCC